AGCTATTCAACATAACCTGCATTCATGAATTCATGATCATTCATTCATTATTACAGAACTTTTGTGGAATTGTCTCTTCTCGTTCCTAAATATCGAATGAGAATATGAGTATCATTTCAATATACGTAAAGTGAGGACAAATAGAATGGTTTGTCCCAAGGAGTCACTGCGTATACAGTTATTCCTATCGAAGAGTCCAAGAAAAAATTCATTCGCATGACACTGACACTTTGTTTTGAGAAATGTTTGGAGAAGGAATCAACAGGGTGTTGCTTGAGTACTTGTAGAAAGTTCAGGAGCATGTTACTGACGTCAAAATGAGAAGAAAAGTTCGTTTATATGTATGTCCGAAAGTGAATCGATTCTGAGAATCAGAGTGTCAAAGTTGAATTTTAATTTTTGTTTTTTGGTTATAAATTTCAAAATAATTGTGATATTCGAATGAAGTTTAGTATTAACAGGTATTTTTCAATGACAATATCGAATGTTATGTAAGTTTGTCTCTTTCGTGGGGGTGGTGCCACTTACATGTCTTTCGAGTATTTTGAAAAGTCATAACTTTTTTGTACATACCTGTATCACGTTTTATAGTAAAGAGATAGATTTCTAGTATACTTTCGTGTGAAAAATATATTCCTGGTAGAGGTCACTGCGAGCAAGTCTTCTTGAGTTATTGGGATTTGGAATATTCGAAGAAAAATGCCCTGACGTATCTTTTCTGATATTTAATACTTTGAGGCTATGGAAATGATTCAAATGCATCGAATATTTCAAATCCCAATAACTCGAAAACAGTTGCTCGCAGCGACCTCTACCAGGAATATATTTTTTGCACAAAAGTGTTCTAGGAATCTATTTTTTCACTAAAAAACGTGAAACAGGTACGCACAAAAAAGTTATGACTTTTCAAAAGACTCAAAAGACATGTAGGTGGCAGCACCTCAACGAAAGACACAAATCAATATAAAATTTGATAGTGTCATTGGAAAATTCCCCTAGATACCATACTCCATTCGAATATTACAATTATTTCGGAAAATATCAACACAAAACAATAATAGGAATTCAACTTCAACACTCTGTATTCCAGAAACGAAGAACTTTTGGACACATATTCATACGAACTTTTCTACTTATTTCGACGTCAGCTACATGCTCCTGAATTTCCTACACGTACTTGAGAACCACCCTGTACATATATTGATATTGGAAAAATATCAAATTCTCAATCACATCTGGATGTTTTGGGAATGAATGTGCTTCCGTTCTCAACATAAAATTGAAGAATTATTCCTCAGTAACTTCTCAGTGACAAATGGTAACGTTGGCCAGCAAATGTGTTACAAAGTGTTCCTGAATTCACTATTCTCATGTTCTGATTCTAGTAGTGAATACCATGTTCATCTATATATATTCACATACATACACTATTTATGTATTGAGACATGAGTCACTGGAATGGATTATAGTTCCGTTGCTTTGGCAGTGAATTCCTATTTTGCTTCAGAACATCTCTGAACAATGTGGTATTCCAAAGTATTGATTAAGAAGGCTAGTACATTCACAGAATGAAGTCAGTAATCCTTTATAAAGGACCTGAGGAGTTTGGATTACTTTTTCTATCAGTAGACACGAAGAAGAATAATTTCTGTTCTGCAGCCAACAATTCAGTACAATGATTCCGCATGAGTTGATTTATGAGCTAAGGGCTCCTGATCTTGATACCGATTTCTTCAAGGAACGTTATTATATTTTTTCATCCTTGAGATGAAATAGTAACTGCAGTGAAGACAATCATGATGAGCATAATATACTGATTCAGAATATTCTTGAATCTGTAGATGATCTCCTTTCCTCTAGCTATTGCTTATGTGGCTTAGAGATTTTTCCGAAAGTTGTCGCTACAAAGTGTTCAAATCCACAATCAACAAACAAAAATACGACTCTGCAGTTCGCATCAAAATCAACTGTGAGTATGGCAATTTTATAGTATAGTTCAACACTCCTGAATGCATCATTGTCAGTTGATATTATTAGTAATGCAGTGATAAATTCAACAACCGCTTCACTTGGGGAAGTAGATGGATTAAACAGAATTCGACAGTGATATTCAACGAATTAATCAGTTAAGATTAACAGAATATTTCAGGGAACTCTGAGATGCCGAATTTTCTTCATAAGTTCAGGTGAATGTAATCGTTATTCAAGTTACTCTCATTTTCCGATGTCCGAAATTGTTTACCACATTTTGGAGTTTACGTTCAACATACGATCGCACTCAGAAGTACCACTATTTTCAAACTTCAAAAGTATGGTGAATTCCTCTGTCGGATTTTTTTGCATATCCGGACGTGAAACATGGGTCATAACAAAGCAATGAGTCAGAAAGGATTCAGGCAATGGGGATGAAATTTCATCGAAGAGTACGTGCTGTCACAAAAATGAAAAAAATTTGGAATGAACATCAAATTGGAGGAGATTCGAACATGAAAAGTCTAGGACAAACATAAAACAACGACAAATAGAACATCTTTATTTTTTCCTAAGAGTGCACGTAAGGGAGTTCCTTTGAAGTTCCAAGATTGTGGGATGAAGAACAGCATACAAGAAAATACGAGAACGTGCTAGACGAATTCGAAACAATGCAGTGTTAGAAATACTAGGAACATATGTCTTGAACATCTAAATTTTATATTAGCTATATGGTGTTGAGATTTGATTTCTCTTCATTGTTGATTGAGATAACTTTCACAATGTGAAAAACTGTCATGTCATGAATTCTTGTCAAAATAAGATAGGAAATGTTATTGATCAAATATCATTATTCTGAGTACGAAATGAAGAACCAACTCACTAGTTTGAGATTATTTCTTTACATCACAAATGCATGAAAATGGCGCGTCGGACGAGAAAACATCAATATTTGAAATTGTAGCAAAATGAATGAGGATTCCAAGGGAGTTTCATGTTTTGAGAAATCAAGGGCGTACCATATTTTCTCATAAAATCCTTCAGTATCCCATATGGATGCTACTGGTAATATTTTTCAAAAATCTCTCGCATCTTAATATGACTATTGGTGCTAAATAGGTGTATCAACACTCTGTAGCTCGAAAGAGGTTGAGGTCATAAGTTCTTACGATTGTTTTTTTTTTCATTGAATGAGATGAGAACCATAACCTATATTGTTAGTCATCAAACAAATCACATCCCGTATATACAGGGTGAGTCATAACTAACCAGCCATAGCCTAATAGCGGATAGCGGAGGTCAAGGTGAGTTGATATATATGTAAAAAAATATTTTTTGCCTATTCTTTACAGAAATACAGGGCATTATTTGAATTCGGGGCAAAACTTCAATGAACGATATTTCAGGAACGTCTCGATGTTATCGGCGGAAATTCACTAGCAACTCACCTCAACTGACACTCCACAAGATGACGTACTATGAATAGAAAATTCCAGATCCGGACTTGGAAAACTCATTTTCTCTTTAGATGTCAAAATTTTGACCTTCTGCATCAGATTTTTCGGAAACTTCCATCAGAATCAGAAAGATCAGGAGAAATACTACAAGTATGGCATCTGAATTCGTACGGCACATTTCGATCGTTTTGGTAAAAAAATATCAAACAAAATACCGATGAATTTTTCTTCCATTTCGTCCGGGCATATCACTCTCTAAATTCGACTAGAAGTAATTAAATCAATTTTTTCCCTGGAAAGATTCAACAGCAGATTCGAAAAAAGGTTTATTTCAATAAAAAACCTAGGACCGGACTTGATTTTGGATAAAAACAATTATAATTTCCGAAAAAGATTTGCCTGGATCTTAATATTAATCAAGATTCTCGAAATGTCCTCCTCCAATTTCTATACATTTTCTGCATCTTTTCGGGAGATCTCTTATGGCTTTTACAATAATTTGCCTATTATTTCTGATTATATCTGCAGCTGCAGCTGTAACTATCCTGTCCCAATTTTCAATTGAAATCTAACTTCTATTTGTGATAATGTGAAAACATTGTATTCAAGAGAGAGAATACCTAGACACCCATTTTCCTAACCGCTGGATAGGTCGTGGCGGCCCTCATTCTTGGCCTCCTATAGGTCCCCTGATCTCACAGTTTTGGATTATTTTCTTTGGGGGCATTGGTCTATCAGACTGAAGTCAACACCAGAGACGAACTGAGGGAGAGGATAGTTACAGCTGCAGATATAATCAGAAATAATTGGCAAATTATTGGAAAAGCCATAAGAGGTCTCCCGAAGAGATGCAGAAAATGTTTAAAAATTGGAGGAGGACATTTTGAGAATCTTGATTAATATCAAGATTCTGACAAATCTTCTTCGGAAATTATGATTGTTATTTTCCAAAATCAAGTCCGGTCCTGAATTTTTTATTGAGTTATACCTTTTCTCAAGTGTGCTGTTGAATCTCTCCAGGAAAAAATTTGATCAAATTACTTTTGGTAGAATGTAGAGAGTGATAGCCCGGACGAAGTCGAAGAAAAATTCATCGGTATTTTGTTTGATATTTTTTTACCAAAACGATCGAAGTGTGCCGTACGAATTTAAAAGCCATACTTGTAGTATTTTTCCTGATCTTTCTGATTCTGATAAGAGTTTTCGAAAAATCCGATCCAGAAGGTCAACATTTTGACATCTAAAGAGAAAATGAGTTTTCCAAGTCCGGATCAGGAATTTTTTATTCATAGTACGTCATCTTGTGGAGTGTCATTAGAGGTAAGTTGCTAGTGAATTTCAGGCGATAACATCGAGACGTTCCTGAAATATCGTTCATTGGAGTTTTGACCCGAATTCAAATAATGCCCTGTATTTCTGTAAAGAATAGGCAAAAAATATTTTTTTACATATATATCAACTCACCTTGACCTCCGCTATCCGCTATTAGGCTATGGCTGGTTAGTCATGACTCACCCTGTATAACGAGGAAGTTGAATGTTTGTCAGTGCGCCGGCCTGTATCGACATACTCATGAACCACAATTATCTCTCTTTGACCTGTGGTCTAATATTTTAGATAGTCAGTTTCGTTTCGTTACATTGCCATAAGGTAGCTGAAATGTAAGTTCTTCATTTATTTGATGCATATACATTGAACAGAAAAAAACATTTGAATATTCATTTTCATTCCATGATTCTCATCAACCTAAACATTTTCATATTCAATCAATGAGATAGTTTTCGACTCCGTCGATTTGTTGTTTCGTCTTCCACGAAGTGTTGCCTATCTTCCGCACTTTTTTCACTGTACTCACTAGAAACGAGAGCCCAAAACACGTGTCTGCTGTTACCTCTTCGTGAGGGCTATTCCTAATAATTCATTCCTAGTTTGCTCAAAACAGTTTCCTTTTCTCCTTTCATGAATATGTATATCATTGGAGATATCGAATATTTTTTTTCACAAAAATAACTTGAAACTCTTCTGAAATCTGTTTATTTGAATTGTGTGTCCCCCTGAGTATCTAAACTATATACTCCACAACTCAGCCACAATTTCAATAGCAGAAATTGACATCCATGGACGTAAATGCTAGTGCCACTCAAGCCACACCTCTTGTGAACACTTCATCACCATCCATTAGAGATTTGACTCCCAAGCTGTTGAGAATTTTTTTTCAAATTTCAAATATGGATACCAAAATTACTAATCAAACTGTCCTCACATTGGAATCATTTTTTTTTTCGAAAAATAAAAAGATAGAGTCCCCTTGATAGCGCGTAAGAATTTGGTCTATAATCTCCCCTGATACTATATTTGCCAATCCAAGCGATCTTTAGCCTGCTCACAGGAGCGACTGTAGACACCATCCAGTGAGATGTGCTATTGCAGGAAATGTGAAGACATGAAGCATTATATGGATTATCAATCAGCAAAAATTCTAGCCACAGGAAGTAACTATTCAAAGAGGAATTCCCAAGAGATGTCTCTCTTTTCAAGAAGTGTAACTACATTATAGAAAAAACAGACATTGAACATATGAGTGATATAAACTCCCACCTTCTGCCACTGGGTAGACAACTTCACTCAGATGCAGATAACGCTCTGTCTTTTTGTTTCGGAACTATCCGCCCCAATTTGCACTTCGCACTGGTTGGATTCAGAATTTATTCAATTGATTTCGTGTTCACATCGTGAAAAAATTGTTTCTTACTAATTCACATAACATGCACGATTCTGTAATTTTCCAGTGTTGATATCATTTGCTTCGAACAGATAGCTTGTGGAGGTATCATTCTGAACATTCAAGTACACTGTGTTTCTTTTCTTTCTCTTACTTCCGCTTATTCGCAAATAAGTCAATGACCAAGTTTCTCGAACTTTCAGAAAATTTCATCTCACGACATGATTCTCTTCTTTCTCCTTATTTTTGTTCAGAGAGTGTTATGCTTAGGAAAATAAGAGCTTAAGTGCGCCATGCACTCCATCCATGGTACTATCGATCTATAATTCACCTTTTGGCAGACGTGGAAAAAAAAAGTTAACCTTCGCAGTAGCACATAATGCACATGACTACCAACCCTCTCTTCAGTTTTGATGACGATACCACTCTTATAGCATCCGTCTCCTCTGATACACCAATATCCGCAGCAACCAACCAAGGCCTACGTTTGCGACAGATCCAGACCGTCAACGACGATTTGGAAAGGATCCAACAATGGGGCAATTTGAACCTCGTACAATTCTACGCTTTGAAGACATGAGCAACAGTTTTTTTCAGGAAAGGCTAACCGTGCGGTACCTGATACAATTATGACTGAAAGAACCTTACCAATCAGTTCATCACTATCATTGCTCGGCATAACGGTATCTGACAGTTTATCTTGGCATGACCATGTTGCCAATATAGCCAGAGCTACCTCTCGAAAGCTGGGATTCCTTTTATGTGCGAAAAATTATTCCAACTCACAACAGCTTCTGACACTCTACAAAGCCTAGATTCAACCATCTCTTGAGTACTGTTCGCACGTCTGGGGATCAGCTCCAAAACACTCCCTGAGGTTGCTGGAGTCGGTTCAAAGAAGAGTCATCAGGCTCATCAATGACCCAACTCTGACAAGATCACTGCAAACTTTACAACATCGAAGAGACGTTGTAGACCTATCACTCTTCTATCGCTACTATCATGGATGATGCTCTGTTGAATTGTCATCAGCTGTGCCCCCCCATCCGAATGACCTTTGTTCGTCAAACGCGGCTGGCTCAAGTCTCACACCAATATGCAGTCAAAATTGAAACACCTAGAACAACATATTTCAAGAACTCCTTCTTTTGTCGGACATCTTCACTGTGGAATTCTTCACCCACAGATGTATTTCCAGCGAACTACAATCTATTTACCTTCAAGAGGGGGATCCATCAATATTTGTCCCTCCGTAGTGCTCGCAGTTCCACCACGGGATTATAGGTCTAACCTTTTGCGAGCACTTGCGAATAAAAAAAAAACGTGATAGAAACGTTGTTGAAAATCTTCATTATTTTGATTTGTGATAAAAACATTTTTTGATTACTGCAGAAATGACTCGACTGTCAAACTGTCTCAACACCATTGTCAATATCCTTGAATAGTGTGAGTACCTGTTGATCAATCCTTATCCTTATTTGTAGTTGCCCTGAGGATGGAAATGAACATTTCCGAAAGCTCGAACATACTGTAAGGAGTTCACCTTCACTTTGCAGCAACATCCACTAGCAAGCTAGTTTTATCCATAACATGTCAGCAACGACTCTCCCTCCTTCTACTATATATAGATATATTATTTTTGATCCGCATGCTCAGTAAATGTGTCATATTATTATGTGCTTCAATAATTTTGAGCTATTCATCCAAGAAATCCTATTATGTGCTGATTCTCGACGTTGAAGTAAGAGGAATTCATAATATTGAGTGAACCAGAAGCAAATGTTTCTCATCAGATAAAAGATCAATTCGAAAATTGAAAACTTCCGAGAACCTAATTATCTATCAAGTATACTGAAACTAAAATTACTGGTTGCTAGTTACCTAACGTTCAAGGCAATACTTTTCACTGTTAATATTTATGAAATAAAACAAATGCAATGAATGGTAATGAACTCATCACGATGGGCGGTTCACAAATTGTGATAATATACACGTTGCTCTCAACTATAGTACACGAATATTCTCGTTGTACCTACTATGAATTAAAATTGGAGTGGAAGAAACCTCGGAAGAAACTTCGTTGGAAAACGAATATTCGATGTAAATTTTTTCACAAAAGTTTCTGATGTGGAGAAGGACAAGAACGAGGACAAGAATGATCGGAATATATTATTGATCAACTAGAAAAAATGAAATGATAATTCAACATGTATTATGAACGATCAAAATACTTGAACAAAAAAATATCATCTTTTCGAACACACTTGTTCATTTTTGATATTTGTGTTTTCTAGTACTTGTATAACTCATCATGGAAATAATCTTTGTGATTCATGCAACTATGTACTGCAGTAACCGATAATATTAGGAGAATTAATGAAATAACCATCGATTAATGAATATATGCTGGGTGATTATTTGTTGCTCATTTGAAGAAATCATATTCATTATTGTGGAAGATTTCATTTCGTATGGATCGAACAGAAAAAATTTCCTATCATTTTCATGGATAATCAAGCGTAGGTACACAAGAAGAAATGAAATGCTGATGAAAAGACAGATAGCATTCTGTTTTCTGAGGAATACTCTCCTTTGTGAAAGAATTCCAAAGCCCTGCCGTTCTATATATATATATAGGCGACGTACAGGGTTATTCATAAGTAAGCGGTATCCTCTCATCAAGGGCGTATTCCTTGTATGAAAATGAGGCAAAAAGATCGTATTGATAAGAATCCGAAAATGCTTCCTGACGAAGCTACTCCTCTTTGAATAAACCACCGCAAAGACGATTTTTTTCTCGATAACTTCAAAATCCTTCACAATTGATTCCTGCAAATTGGCGAACGGCATCAAAATTTGATGGTAAATGAGACTCTGGATTCAAAATTTCGAGATTTCATTTAGTGATGTCATATGCGAGAAAGGGTAAGTATATAAATATTCCTTCTTCTTTTGATATTCAGGTGATTGTGAACTTGTCTGGAGATCATAAAATTCTAGGGGTTTTCACGTGAAAAACGTACTCTCAGTTCATTTTGATAAAACGAACCATTAAGAGGAAATCGACTTTGAAAACTTTCTGATTTGCGTAAATCTCAATAACCATGAATATCAAAAGGAAGGATGTTTTCACAATTACCCTGCCCTGCATGTGATGCCCCTATTTATCATTAAATGTTCATGCCGTACACTGATTTTTGGAAATTCATTGTGAAGGATTTTGAAGATATAGAGGAAGAATCGTCTATATGGTGTCCTATTCAAAGATGCGTAGCTCCCTCAAGAAGCATTATCAGATCATTATCAATACGAACTCTTAGCCTTATTTTCATACAAGGAATACGCCCCTGAAAGGATGCCGCTTCCTTTGGAATCACTTTGTATATTAGGTTAAAAAACAAGTCGATGTGCTGATTGAGCTTCGATAGATGGAGAACAAACTGTATATAATAAAAAATGAATATCCATCGAGGAGTGTATAGTCTCTGTGGTTGATGAAGAATCACGAAATAATTGTGTATTTGCCTACCAAGCTACTAATTTGTTTACTGCGTTTCTCACAGATTGTAAATATTACAAGCATATCGCTACCTTGATATAAAACATAACAAGATACAATTTAATGTGACTATCGCATGTCGAATTGTAATTTCCCAACAAAATTTTATATCATTAAATGAAACTAAACAAGTTTTTGCACGCATGGAATCGAATATCATGCTTTCTCACATTATTTATGTATGTATCTATCCAGATATTCTTGGTGTACATCGATCTATACATTCTTATAATATTTTAATCATAAATGCAATAGGTATGTTGTGCAATAACAAATCTCTTCATCACCTAAACCATGAACCATAGAAAGATGATGGGAGATACAAAAACTATTCACAATAATTATTCGAGAACACCCTCAGAATGATATCGAATTTACTTGCCTCCGTTCATTCATTCATCCTTATAACATTTCTTTCTTGCTATTTACAGGTTTATATATGCGCTTATCATCTGCCTCACTACCAGTCTCAGCACTTGTCAGAACTATGAGAACCAATTCTGCACCTATAATAGCTCACACTCGCTGAATCAGTTCTCAACACCGAACTATACAGATATAATCTGTATGAACATGATTCTGAATGATACGATGAAACTGAAACTCGAAAACCAAAGCAAGCCACTTCACATCAGATCATCTATTCAGCTTATCAATATAACTGGGAATATAACCACTAAAACTTTGGTCCTCTTTCCATTCGTGAACAACGTGCTGATATATCGATGCAGGATCGACAACATCGATGCAGACTTCAAGAGTTTGGTTCATCTGCACATAGCTGAGTCTATTATTCCGAATATATCCAAAGAGATGTTTCAAGAAAATAGATATTATTTGCTTTCTTTTGGTTTACATTCTAATGTGGGTCTAAAATTCGGCGAATCACCTTTTGAACTTCTTGACTATTTAGATGATCTGATTATATATAATCAATCTCTATCGTCAATCAATGATTGTTTTTTCAATGGCCTCAACCATCTGAAATATCTCGTTCTCAACAAGAATGATATAAAATATCTTCACGAAAACGCATTCATAGGTCTCAATGAATTGAGAGAAATCAATATGGATAACAATCCTCTGGAGTATTTCACAACAAATATAAGGCATATGCATAAACTCGAAAAACTTTCATTATTACATACAAATATCAGAGAATTTCATGTGACGCAATTCTTTCCTTTGATAAAGATGAGAGTTCTGAAAATACCATTTCCAGCTGCGAGAGACATAGAAGTATCAGGATTGGCTATAGGATTTCCGAATTTGAGAAATATTGTTGTGGATTCTCATGACATCGATGAAGATTCTGACATGTTCAAGTTGAGAAACCTACGGCTTGCTGGACTCAATGTCGATAGAATCAGCAAACTCCCTACGGAGGTTTCTATATTTGCTGGGAGACTCAAGTATGAATTTCCATCGCTAGAATCAGATGTCTCTAAAAAATTTCCATTTTGTTGAAAGCTTGTTATGATTACTAACTTGAATTACTTTTCCTGCAAGGAATTATAATCGAAGGAGAATCATTAACGTGAACTGAAAAATCTCTGGAAGCTAAAATATAAATTATAAATGTAATATCACTGTTATAAAATTAATGAATATATAAATTCCACAGTGTGATAAGGCAATTTCATTTTTTTCACCTATATTCAATGCTCAAAATTTTTAATTTTTTAATATTCTTCAGAACGAGTGATAATAGGAAATTTGATAGCTTCTCCTCCATCTGACGTTTTGATGAAGAATACGTCATCGTTTCGACAAAATATCGATCGTGGAACGTCATGAAATGTGTAACCATCATTTCGGAACATCAAAATTCAATCGAACTCATTATGCCATTGTTTATATTTTGAAATTGTCTAGTCTGTTGTAGAAGCACGAATTCTCAATTGCCTAAATGTCTTGGGGCTTATCAAAAAGAATCACTATAATAATGTCTGGAAAATATCGTGCGAACCAAGCGAGGAAAGGGAGAGGTGAATGGTATTGGATTTTATCTTGAACCTTTGGAAATTAAATCGAGACAGCACACAGTATCCATCAGATTATTATATTTATAGTCTCAGTTGGGAAGGTCATAGATATTTGCTCCTTGTTCAGAGTGTAATTTAAGTGGGTTACATTTGCATAATACAGTTGAAAACTACACCCAAATGTGCAGATTAATCTCTTCATCAACATGATGTAAATTGAATTAAGGTGTTGGATGTCTTTGAGCAGCAATTTACGAAAATCATAATTATTGCAAGTGAATCGGAAGATTTTTGTGCGTAAATAAAAAACCTGTACCAAATAAAAACAGAAACTGATAAGGAATAGTCTAGCTGAAGTTTGTGTTACCAGTGGCGTATCTCCAGTGGATGTCGGCAGAATTGAATGTTATGTGTGATAATAGTCAAGAGGAAATAAAAATTTGTAAGCATTGCAGAAAAAGTGTGAAATTCTCCGTTGAATGTGAGTTTTGTCAATCATACTATCATCCTAGCTGTGCGAGGCAGGCTAAGGTTGTATGGCAGAGTGACAATAAAGAGTACGTTAATTGTGGGCACACTGATAGTAAATTTACCTCCGATACCAGTTCTGGGAGTGATCCAAAAATGGATGAGAGGAAAATAAAAACAATTTTCAAGGAACTGCTTAGTGAGTTTTTGAATCCCTTTAAGAAAAATATTGAGAAAGAGTTTTCTGAACTGAAAAAATCTACTCAACACATATCTAACTCAGTTGATGATCAGAAATCTAATCTTGACAAAGTCGTATGTGAACTACAGCAGCTACGGGTGGAAAATGGAGAATTAAATAATAGAATTGAAGCAATGGAGGTGAAAATAGCAGCCCTCGAGACTCAATATACAGAAAATGAGCATCTACGCATCGTTAACCAGACGGTAGCTACAAATTCATCATTATTATTCCAAACTGAGGAGGCCATTTCTGAATGGGATGAACGTAAGAAGCGTAGCAAAAATATTATAATAACAAATATAAGTGAGTCTACAAAAACTAATAAGACACAGAGGATCCTAGATGAAACCGATAAAGTACAACGTCTACTCTCAGATATTCAACTACTTGATCGTAATGTGAAGGTATTTAGACTGGGAAAATTCGATCCAAATAAAACTAGACTAGTAAAAGTGATATTTAGTACAGAAAATGATGCTAGGCAAGTCTTTTTCAATAAGACAAAATTACCTGGTAGTATTAGGGTGTTTTTTGATCAAACAATGATGCAAAGGGAATATTACAAGCAGGTTAAAAATAAACTCAAAGAAATGGTCGAAAAGGGTGATACTTCTAAAACTATCAAATATGTGAACTCTGTCCCTAAAATTGTTAATTCAAAAAACATGTAGAGCCTAATATTCAAAGTTGCTGTGTCGGTTCTCTAAATTTTGAGCAACATATTATATATTCAAACGTTAGTAGTTTTTTAGCTCACAAGGCTGATATTCTCTTGAACATTATTTGTTATAAGCCATATATAGTTGTCCTTAGCGAAACATGTATCACTGATGATATAGACGATGCTGAACTTCATATTGAAAGATACCAGATGTTTAGATGTAATAGTTCAAGTCGTTATACCGGTGGAGTAGTAATTTTCGTAAGGGAAGATGTTGAGGTGAAGTCTAGTGAAACTAATATAATTGACATGGTGTGCTGGTGTTTGTTCATAAAAATCAAAATAGGTAACAATATATGGAACATTGGGGGACTTTATAGGTCTCCAAGTTCCAGTAAGCCTGTTTTTATTGATGCTCTGGAGGAAGTAATAGAAAAAAAATTTGCTGATGGTAAAAGATGTTTACTGATTGGTGATTTCAATTTCAATTTTTTTAGTACCGAACATTATGAGCAGAAAATAAAAACACTATTTAATACGTATGGGTTGGATCAAGTTGTTCAGGATTATACAAGATGTTGTGGTAATTCAAAAACTTTGATTGATTATGTTGTTACTAATTATGATAATGTTAGAGCAGTTGTGAATGAACCTAACATTTCTGAGCATGGCATTATATCCATTAATTTATCTGCAGACTATTCACAATTGCCTGAAAAATCAATAACTTTCAGAAAATTTACAGATCAAGCGTATCATAATATTAATATGCAATTAATATCCTGTAATTGGAACAATAATTCAGTTAATGTTGATGATATTTTACATGAATTAATCGATAATGTGTCAAAAATTGTTGATGAAAATGTACCTGAAAGAACAATATATATTAAAAGTAATTATGTACCCTACTTTGATGATGAACTTAAAGAAAAAAGACGTGAGCGTAATAATGCATACTACAATTTTAGGCATTGTGAGGGTAGTCTAAAGGAGGAACGTTGGAATGCCTATAAGATCATGAGAAATCAATATTGTGTTTTACTAAGGAAGAAAGAGAGATTATATTATGAGCAAACTATTGATAACAATAAAAGTAATAGTAAGGAAATGTGGAAGTGTCTGAAAAAAATTGTTAAGCCAAAACAAGATGTTAGTAGCTGTATACAGTTTGAGATTAATCACCAAAATGTAATTTTAAATAAGGAAATAGACATTGCTAATAATTTTAATTCATATTTTATAGAGAGTGTTAATGAAATAACATCAGTTTTTCATAATGTACAACAGTGGACACATGACTACCCTGTTATATCAACTGATTTCACTGAATTCATGCCTTTAACAATCAATGACCTAAGAATCATTATATTCTCTCTGGACAAAACTAACAAAGCAGAAATTTTAAATAATAATTTCCTAAAAAATAGTTTTGATGTAGCTGGTTATGCAATATTAAATGTAATTAATACATCACTTAGAACCGGCGTGTTTCCTGATCAATTTAAGGTCTCTACTGTTGTTCCTGTACCGAAAATTAATTCAATCAATGCTGAAAATTTTAGGCCATTAAATATATTACCTACCCTGGAAAAAGTTATTGAACTATCTGTATATAACCAATTAATTCAGTATTTTAATACCAATGAATTGCTTCTAGGCAACCAATCAGGGTTTAGAGCTAGACACTCATGTGAAACGTCTCTACAATTCATAGTAAGTGAATGGAAAGATATAATTGATAGAAATCAGTACATTGTTGCAACGTTTCTCGACCTCAAAAGGGCATTTGAAACAATTGACAGAGCTATTCTAATTGAAAAATTGAAGTATTATGGGATATCGGGGACTGTATTGGATTGGATTCAAAGTTACTTATTCAACAGAAGACAAAAAACTAAATTTGGTAAAGAATTGTCAGATGAACTTATAATAGAGAGTGGCATACCACAGGGTAGTGTTTTAGGTCCATTGCTATTTATTATTTATCTGAACGATATTAACCACATTCCCGGATCACACTGTATAAATCTTTTTGCTGATGATACATTGGTTTATTGTGTACATGAAAACTTGGATCAGGCAATTGTTGAGATGAATAGGTCATTAAAAAGCATTGATACATATTTATTTAATAATAAACTCAAACTAAATACCAGTAAAACAAAAAGTATGATTTTGACATCATCTTATAAATATGATCAAATTGTCTGGGCAAATGCTGCCATAAAAATTAATAACATTGTCATTGAAAATGTCACTGAAATGAAGTATTTGGGTCTTATAATTGACAAAAACTTAAAACTAAATAGTCATGCTGATTATATTTGTAAAAAAATATCTAAAAAACTCTTCTTTTTCTCTCGTATATGTAAGAAAGTGTCTATGTATGCTAGGTTGACTCTCTTTAAAAGTTTAATTCAACCTCATTTTGATTATTGTGCAACATTACTTTTTCTACTGGCCAAAAATAAAATAGCACAATTGCAAAAGCTTCAAAATCGGGGTATGAGGTTGATATTGGGATGTAGCCGTTACACAGCAATTAAATTGATGCTAGAGTGTCTAAACTGGTTCTCAGTTGAAGAACGTATAATATTTATGACTATGATCTTTATATTTAAGCTGCAAAAAGGATTGCTACCCTGTTACTTTCATAAGTTCTTAGTAAAAAATAATGAAGTTCATGATTACAATACGAGAAGTAATAACAATTTTTACATTAAAAAAACTAACACTAAATTTGGGATGAATAGCATGTTTCATAAAGGCTTAAACAAATTCAATAAATTACCTCAATTTGTAAAAGAATCAAGTTCAGTTAGACAATTCAAGTCATCATTAAAGAAGTTCATCAGTGACAGCTCCTTGTGATACTTATTGGTATTCCTTCTTTCCTTCTTTCTTCCTTCGGATTAATTGATATGATCCAATCTATCAATCTATTGATATGTATACTTTCATTTTCTTCAAATGTACTCCCATATGTTGCTTATATTTATATTTACGTAACTTAACAAGGTTGTAAGATATCCATAGACTTGTAATTCATATATATATATTTTGTATATTAGGCTTGCCTACTTAAATAAATAAATAAATAAATAAA